AAGAAGCGTGGTTTCTGACATTTCTGGGTGTTGAAAATTTTTCATAATCTGTAGCAATAGCTTTTCGCTGACAGGTTACTGGTCACATTGATTTTAAACTCCGAAAGCCAAAACAAAACGGGAATGCTTATTTTCACCCCTCTCGGGGGAATCATTGGTGGACGCTCTTCTCAGGTGGTTTCCAGTGTTCCTGTTTATAACTGACAGAATGCACACTTGGTGGCGTAGCTCATACATAGAACATGGAAATTCTAATATACCCTTTCGATCAGAAAAAATTACTTAAGTTGGATTTCGAGACTGTTTACTCAGAAACCCAATCTAAAAATACCTCCTGCGTGGCAGGAAATTGGTTTCCGATTGCATGGTTTTCAAGCCGCTTGAATGGAGCACGCTAACGAAATATGTCCACTTGTGCAGCGCCTTAGTTTCTCATTGACCTTCATTGTGTTTATTGGTTCCACTACGTTCTGTAGACAGCACACCACCCTCTATACGCGTTATTTAATTGCACACATATATAAACACTTAATTTGATTATCATAGAATCAGCTTGTATTTGATCGTGTGCCATGTTCGGTATTGGTGGGGGGCGGTTAACGAGCAAATATTTTCAGTGTCATGAGAAGGGGGTTGTTTATGAAACGTTTTGCGGTAGATTTGACCACGATATATATCCCAAAAGCTATATTAATAAACAGGGAGATAGTATGTCGTTTAAATAATCACTCCAGTAACCCAGTGTTTTTCATAGTTATAAACTAAGTACTGAAGAGTTAATTTTCCATAAAATAATAATGAAAAAAGATGCCTAGCGCACATCTTCTGTATGGCGTGACCACATTTATGTAGGCAGGAGCATCTGCTTCTTCTCAGTATACACACTATTTAATGTATTCATTCAGCAGGCACCACCATTAACTATTATTCAAACAGTGTTCCACGACTCGAGGACTTTCGAGTCATGACACCATTGCTAATATTGCTAAGGTTGCCAACTTACTTGCAGAAACGCAACATATTGCACTTCAAAAAAATACAAGGGAAGCCTAAATGTGTTTAAAAAATAATGCCTACATTACAAGGATGGTCTACCTCTTTATGCCTTCCACAATACCTGCTTGGTTACGCTAATGGAAAGGCTCCATTGTTTTGGCCAAAACGTCTATGGATAATGATATTGAAAGAAAGACCCACCGATCGCTACTAGATTTGGTTCATCTCAGTCGATGCACTCCACAGTAGTGTAAACTCAGTAAAAGGACCGAAATCAAAGTACATACTACTCCCGACAAGAGACCTTATTCCTTTTGAACAGGAGACAGAATCCATGTCGCCAAAAACCACTTATCTTTTAGGATGATTGCCTTGGCGCTACTGTTCTCCATTTTCCGCCCTTATAAGTTTCATCCTGTCATTGGACAGGTTTTAGGAAGATAGCTTATTGGTTGTGTCCTCCATACTTATCGATGCCGACAGAAGGTGTCCTGCTATGGCCTGATTACAACTTCGTCAGGAACATTGTCTCACCCTAATCTGACCCTATCTCACGGCGACGACGTTGATTTCTTCACGAAAGCCCATGACTGAATGTGCTCAAAGCTGACATCTAACACATCCGTGCTCCTATGTTATTCGTTATGAGGCGCCAGTGTGCTCATTGACTCAACATTGCGCAGTAGTTTGCTGCTGATTGGTTCCAATGCAATACTATAATTCACAATGCACTTAGCTTGCAGCACGGAACAGACTGAGCAAGTATAAATGAGAGCCATCACAGGAATAAGTAAGCAAATCTACAAGTTTGGTACGTAATAGGGTTTAACAGTCAGTTTTAGAGAAGACCTATTACACTATCATATTTTTAATCACAACTATAAATCTCAATCCTAAACGTAACCCAAACCCTAACTCTAACCCTTATACCCGGCGGTCCAGCGATACCGCCAAACTCATTCGTAACTCTAACCCAACCTCTCCCTGAGAGTAAGCGAAGGCCACCTATAGTACAAAAAGAGCACTTATTACCATTCCAATAGCCGGAATTATTTTGTTTTGTGTCATTATGCTTCGGTATGACATAATAATTACTTTACGCGCAGTATTGCGACCGCCTGTGCGGTCGTTGGATTTGAGTTTAAAGCCAAATGAAAGGACCGTGTTCTTGCACTTAAGTTAGCGACGCGATAGTTTCATGCAAGATGTTGTGTAGAGAATTTAGAGACAAGGCCTTACGTGGTGCTTGAGCACTTTGAATCCAGCCATTGTAATGACTTCGAATAACGCTTTTTGCTCAAAACACTGGTTCAGTGTTGGAATGTACAAGCTGCGAAACGTGCATGCTATAAAGCAGATCTTAACATAGTCAGTACCAGTTTCTTAGCACTTATTCCCGATCATCCGAGAAAACACCGATTAAAGGGTATTTCGTGTACCTGACAATATTTTGTGAAGGGGTTTTCAAGAGTGAACCTGGAGATTCTTTCTGTCCGCTTAAATTGCCCATAGGATTTGATTAATAGAGCAGCAAAGGAATAAGAAGTCGGAGAGCAGACCAACCAAAGTGTCGTTTATGCCAGATCTCAGTATAAAATATTTGGAAGAGATCTATAGAGGGGAGCTTGGAAGGTCAAAGTGAACAATAACCGCTTACTTAAAAATTATAAGTAAGTTGGATTTTCGAGAAAGTCCCAATTTTTTGGACGCTGATCGTTGGTTCAGTAGGGGTTGGATGACGATATTTAATTTTAGAGGGGTCCTCGGAAGGCCACCATATGCAGTAACCGTTTATTAAGTAATATGGCCTTTCAACTTAGCCATAGGTGTAAACGCTTACTTATGCATTTTAAGTAGGGTGCATTTCAACAATCTTCCGACTTTTTCACTCGTTCGCCGTTATTCTATTGGGGTTTAGCGAAACTATTTAAAAATGTACCCCAGTGACCTCACCCAAGGTCAGCAAACACCCCCGGAGAAAAAAAGCGCTCGCCGTTGGTCTAGTAGGATGTTAGCGATGATATTTAAATTTATCTCAGTTTCCCTGTGAGAGATCAGCGCGCATCCCACAACTTACCCGCGTAACTTTTTTTAATTTACATAATTATTGCGCACTGACTTGTACCCCGATACGTCCCACCCATTCTACCCCCTAAACCCAGCTGCCCGCATTTGAGTGGAGCGCGCTTTGCGCGCACTGTGGGGACCATACTACCGATCCTTACAAAATATTTTTAAAACTGGTAGTAATGAGTAGAAGAAAATTGAGGTCATGTTTGGCTCTTCCATTTATAGGTTGACAGTGCACTTTCCCTAGCATAGATTTTACTCCGAACGTAGCAATATTAACGTCATAGCGGCACCAAACCCAATATAAAACATCCACCTCCGATTATGCATTGAAACGTGCGCCCCTTAGTTCTACCCAGTCGCAGAAGTAGAGCTGAAATATGTGAAATGAAATGAATTTATCGTAAATAACTCGCCTGTAAAGCCAAGATATGCTAGCGACGAAGATAATGGCTTAAACACCTTAAAGCCAGTTGTTGAAGGGAAATAAATTCCGGGACTGTTTCAATTCTTTTCCTTTGGTAGGACAAATTACGCTCTGACGGCCACACACATATGCTTATCTTTTCATAACCGTCTACTGAAAACCAATCAGAAAATATTAAATTTTATTAGCAAGAGATGTCTCTCAGCTGCCTTTCTCAAGTACGAACTGCTAGTAATATTGTCATTTTCTGTACTTTACGGCCTACGGGGAAGAACTCAGACGCACACTTCATCTGGTGGCATCCATAACCAAAATACAACGCACACTTGCATTAAATAGGGATCAGATAAATTCCGCAACTCTTCTACATCAGATAGAAAGCTTGAAAGAACCATATGAACACTTGAAAGCCAAATCCGCTTCACATTTCCAGATGTATTATATTCATTTCATAAGTGAGGAACCTCGGAAATCCGTTTTATAATTGGTTAGCAATAAATCACCGGAAGATCACTCGCATAGTTTTCTGTATCCACAAATGACAAGAAAGGACATGGTTGATACAAGGTGTTCCCTGGTTCCCAACTGCTTCAGGTGTCTGAAAGGGCGATTGGGGATTTCGTTTCTAAATCTACATTTCTTGGAAGTTAAAATAGGACGTTTCACATTATTCGCATTAGGAACTCCTCTCTTTCAAGCCCTCTCTTTCATTTAAGGAAATCCTTTTTTGCTAAGAAATTTAGACCGTTTGAAACTCTATGAAAATCCTGACCTCCAATATAAATTGACCTTCGCTGAAAGTGGACTAACAGACGACCTTCCGAATAAGGCTATTAAGCCGACGAATGCAGAAGTGGGATCCTTCGCATAGTCCCATCGAAATACGGTTCCTCACGCCTAAGTTCCAGGCTCGCTTGTATAAAATCGGAGAATTCCAGCGCAACTATGAGCCAGACCCTTCGTATGTTACAAAAACCCGTCATAAGAGGAAAATCAGCGCTCTTTTATCCAGCAACTGATACGAAATGCGAAAAAAACATTCGTAACTATGACATTTCGGACTTATAGGCCCTCATCTACCTGTAATACGCACTCTGGGTGTTGCACCACCCGAAGATGCATCCGGCGACCAGTTGATTGGAAATAAAATGCCTTAAAATTTGGGGCACGGGCTCCCTGTGATCTCGGGTTCGGTCAGAAATATTAAAAGGGACGGCTGCTGGTGGGGATTGAGGTGAGCTCCAAAGCACGCTGGGGAGTATAAGGCAGATCAGTGATCATAAGTCTTCTTTTATAGGAAATGCGTCAGTAAGCTTGATAAAAAAATTATTACAACCGACAGGGTCTTGGAAGTTATAGTGAGAAAATAAATGTATTTGCAACCGGAAGTAGATGCACCTGAAACTTCTACAGATGCATCGAGAAAGGCCCCGACATGGAAGTAAATATATATCTTGCAGTCCCTGTCAGCCAGAAAAGGCAGTAAAGATGGTCCATTGGAGGGGGGTTAAAACCTATGATACCAGCCACCCTTACCGCCGGCGAGGTACTCCGAAAAGACTACATCATCCTGCCCCAGACGGAATATCACCTTGAGAATCTGAAGGATGAGCTGCTCCAAACGCGTCTGCAGCCATCGTGGAACGTAGCCATCACGCGCGGACCGAGCCACCGTGATTACGTCCGGCACTCGTGGTATAGCGCGCAAAATCCGCGTGAAATTGCGCATTAGACCTCTCAGCTCGGCGTAGCTTGGCACATGCTC